TATCAAAGGGTATCATCTATATTATCTGTAGAATCACCCACCAAAATAGATACTATTTTTACACCCTGTATTGGTGTTCTGGTGGACCGATATTGATGATTTATTAATCAATTTGTAGTTAAGTTGTTTGACGTTTTAATGCCTCTTTCTAAATTAAAAATGAAAATTCTCATCTGTGAATTATACGGGGGAAAACAAAATGCTGATATATTTTGGTGAAAGTTTGAAACATCCTGTTTGTAAAAAAGTTCGTAAACAAAGATGATTACGCTGAAATCAGTGATTCGCTTTTGAATATGTTACGGTTAAGGTCTAGTACTAAAAACACCACCGGTGAAGCTGTGGGGAAGCCCCCTAGTGACACTGGGAACATTACAAATGAAAGTTCCAAGGGACCAAATCCAAAGGAAACTACAGGAGGGGCGGCTGACAGTTGCTTGGGATCATCCTCGACAAGTGGCACACAAGCTACCACCTTCTCCAGCAAGGGTCGGGAGCCCACCTCTAGACCCTAAAAGCGACACAAGCTACCGTTTCGTCTACCCGGCCTGGGTCAACTAGGCGGGCTAGACCATCCTCTGAGAGTAGGTCTTAGGGGAGCAGAAGCACGGAGATACCTCCGACTGCTCCATGAAGGACTTGTTCCAGAGGAGGCAAAAGCGAAAACACTCCTCCGAAAAGGGGAGAGTAAAGAAACCAAGAAACAACCTGACTCATCTCCATCAAAGGGCAAGAGAGGGAGCGAGAACCTCTCACCTCTTCTCCGGCAGGGAGAGAAGGAAGACAGGATGGAGGGCCGTCCAACACTGGGAGGCAGGCAGGGACGTATCACCGGCTTTGCCTCTATTGCTGGACAAGTGAAAATGGCGGTGCTGCCAAAGGATTTCCCAGAGGTTGCTCTGACCACCGACCAGCAAACGTCTCTAGAAGAGGCTATACTGGACGAAGTAGTGGCGATCGGATCGCAACACAATGATCTGCAAAATGTGGGTCACCCGCGTTTTGCGGGGATACACTCGGGTGGGCATGATCCTCATAGATTGTGTATCTCAAGAATCGGCGAATTGGTTGGTGGAAATCGCATCTAAGCTTAAAAATTGGCAAGAGCCGGAACTGGTTGCAGTGAAGGGAGAAAACATCCCTAAGGGGGCGGCCATAACGGTCTTTCTGCCGAGGATCAAGGAGAAAGACACCACCTGCCTGCTGAGCCTTATCCAGGGTCAGAACTTCAATGTAAGGACATCGAGATGGCGAGTCATCAACTCGAGGGAGGAGGGTCATGGTGAGGTTCTCACCATAAGAGCTGACCTCAAATCCAAGGAGGCAATAGAGAAAGAGGGACATATCCTCTATTATAGATACGGGACCACACCGGTATTATTTGAATTTGAATTTGAATTTGGTATCATGTCTAAGGAGAGACCAAGTTAAAGAGGTGGAGAAAATGGAGACAGATCCTCCAGCCTCCACCTCACGGGTTCCTCAGCCGGAGGCAAGCTCCTCGACTGTGAAGGGTGGCACGGAGGGCCAAACTCCAACCGTGAAAGGGTGTGTACTGTGTACCCTCGGAAGAAGAACTGTTGTCCGAAGGAGGAAGGGAAATACCCTGTCCCCTCTACAACAGGGGTATGATGGGTTCTAGGAAGGGGGGCACACACAATAAATCTTTAAGGTCGCAGTGATTAATCCCCCTCTTACTCATTCTAAATTCTACAAGGTCCGATATTCGGTTAATATCGACATATTACCCGGTTAATCTCGAGAATAACACACAACAAAACAACCAAAAACAAGACCAAACCCAAACAACCTGTTAATGTCGACATTAACCGGACATCGGATTTTAACCGTAACAAATAAACATGAAAAATGACATAGCGTAAGTCCTGCTATGAACTACTGTCTTGTAAAATTAAATTAATTTTTAGAAAACCCAGTTTTTGACTGTCAAGCAGAATACAATAAATATCAATATGGTTATGATGGGTGCTCCATTTTTGTTAATTTCGATGTCAAAACTCGTGACTATCGTTATAATAAAGATGTTCATATTTTATTACTGCTAATTATACAGGGCCTCATCAGGTGTTGGCCGTATTTTAACGTTGAGTCTAAGGCGTTTGAACCCTTCAAAAATGGGTGTTTTTTAACTACATATAATTTTAACAACCACAGGGTGTAAATTATAAAGAAAGCAGTCTGTATTTAAATCTCGAAAAGGGTTGAACACCGTTTCGTTTTTTGAGTTAAAACTGATGCTAGTTAGTAACTAATGTGGAAAAATGATATAATAATTTTTTAAAATATAGTTAACAAAACAAAATTAGTGTTTTTTTAATTTAACTTGTGAAATTGAGTGTTACTTTTACCACTTTTTTTTTAGAAAGTTACATTAAACATTAATTTTGTGTTATGATCAAACTTGCCTTGCTTGGTGACAGATTTTTTTTATCGGCTGAAAAATACAGTGGAAATATTTAACTGTCAAAGTCAAAGTCTACTTCATCATACTTGCGGCAGAACTTATGTTTTAATGCGAAGTAGGCTTAAAAAGTTCTTGACTCTTTGATCAAAATAACATGCCTTTTATTTTATTACTTAACTTGACCTATTTCATAACAATATTGTTACAAAGGAAAAAAACTTACTAAATAGAAATCCACTTAATCCATCTTATTTACCTACACAACCTGACTTTTAATTTTAACCGAATAATGAGAGATTTTTTGCCTCTATAAAAATTTTAATGATACCTCGCCGACAGGCCGTTAAAGCCTCCCGAATATCCGAATGTCATGTAATATGATGAATCGGTTCTGTACATGTTAAAAGCGTATACCATAAGACAGCACCTCAAAAGGACGAATTTGAATAAAGAAAATTAAAAAAGAATTGTTTTATTTTTGTTTTTGAACCAATTGAACCATTATATACTCAGATTACAGTTGAGGGTTGGAACCTTTGGTGTTACACAGCAAAATAAAAACACTAAATCACCACAATACACCACAACACTTTTACTTTTACACTGTAATGTAAAACACAGTGTAAAAGTAAACACAGTGTAAAAGTAAAAGTGTTTTGGTGTATTGTGGTGATTTAGTGTTTTTATTTTGCTACACTCAGATGCAAAAAAAACGCAACGGATAAAATTTTGGTCAAATTTAAACTGTTATATTTTTAGCTCTGTTTTCATGATTTGCTGTATATAAGTATATCAATTTTAATTTGTAAACTCAGTTTTTTATAAACTTTAGTATTTGGCATATTATACAGGGTTAATCGAGAGGTTGTTTTTTTACCCTAACTTTGACACACCCTGTGCAATAATTCCGTGTGTAAATTTTCCAGAAATATAATTTTAGGGTCAGAACCATGTCTCCTGAGCATTTTGTTGTTTGGATCATGTCAATATATGCCTTGGTTAATTTTTAAGAGCGGAATGAACTTGTCACCAAAAATTTGCAATTTTTTTCATTATAATTTATTTTTGAAGTTTTTTTTCTATAGTCTGTCCAACGACAAAATCCTTGACAGCGATAGATGTGTCTGTCATTTTAATTTCAAAGTAGTTTATTTTATTTTACAAAGAAATAAGTTGGTACAATTGGAACGCATAATTAATATATTTCACGGATGTATATATAAAAATATATTTAATTTTTGAGTGACAAATGGTTACTTCAAAATATTGTGAAAAAAAAACTGTATGAAACTGAAAAAATCTAATCTTGGTTAATTAACTTTAATCTTAATTTTTTTCTGCAGTACTAAAATGTAGTATTTACCTATAGTGTGATATTATGGCGGTCTCTGTGCACCGAATATTAACTGTAAACTATGGTCTGGGTCAACACTTAATTTTCCCTCGAGTTTTTCCTCCACTTAATCCTCCAAACCAAACCAAAAACACGAAACACAAGTAACAACACAGTCCAAAATGTAAAATACAAAATATTTATCATTTCTATTTGACATAATTTGAGACAAAATTATAACCTATAATTTGGCCAGAGTTTGACAACTCTCAAAAATCTTAAGTCGGGTTCATACGCATAAGCGTCCGTTTGTCGTTCATTGTTGCGTCAAACCAATAATATTGAAATAAGATCTGTCATTTTTGAAATAAACCAATAAAACTGGTTAAAAACAACAAGAGACGACGCATGACGTATTTATTTATAAACCCATCTATAGTTAAAAAGTTTCTAATATTTAAAAAATATTAGAAACTTTTAGTGAAATAAATGAATTGGTATGGAAGTCATCTGCTTATTTTCTGTCATCGTCTGTCGAAATCTTACCTGAGAAAAAAACAGAGTATAATATGACAATGCAGCTTTAGTGATTATTGTGAACTATATATTACTATGAACTGCCCATCATGTTCGACGTTTGGGAAATGCTTGGCAGGAGGGTAAGAGGTCGCGAAGCATTACTTTACAGGGTGTCTCAGATTTTAATCGGGAAAATTTAATAGACGATAGAACTTAATCTAAATTAAGCAAAAATAAAACAAAAAGTTCATATCAACTTGTAAAATTTAAAGCTTCCTTTTTGAGATACAGGGTGTTAAAGTTAAAAAAATAAAAAAAAATAAGATATTTGAAAAATGATTTAATCTATTTTGATATAACTTGACCCGTTTATAATACTTACTATGGGACTTAATTTGATGTAATTAGATTTAAGTTTAATGGCCAGGGGCGGCAGGCATTACTGTTAAATTATTTTAAAGGAAAAAATAGGCACGCCACTGCTTTTTTAGAAGTTTAATATTATTTTTAGATTTAATTATTAAAAATATAATTTTTTTGTCTCCTGACTTTTTTGTCTATAACCTAACCATTATTATTCAATTTATTGTCCAGGGTGGAGTGAATAAATGAATTTAATTTTTTTCGCAAGAAGTAAGCAAGATAGACAAAAAAGTCAGGAGACAAAAAAATAATATTTTTAATTACTAAACCCAAAAACAATATTA